CACTGGAGGATAATTACATCTTGTCACAAATTAGAAGACAACAACATACTCCTGGGAAGCAAGTTGACGGTTAATCCCAACGCCATAGGCTCATACACCTTATTTGTATGATCCCATCCAGTGATTGTGTGGAAGTACAAAGATTTTGCAAAGAAGACCATATTAAGCAATACAATACACTGCATTCTGGAGCTCTATTGACAGAATGAAGTGGAACAGTAACTAATTATTTGGCACGCATGACAACCAGAGCATGAGATTTCTTTTTAAGAGACATCCTGGGTTATGAAAGTTGTGAACATCTATAACCCACTGCTCTTTAGTAGATTCCGATTCATAGTGACCCTCTAAGTTTCTGAGGCTGTAAATCTCAATGGGATCATGCTACGGCATCTTTGTACCATGGAGCAGCTGGTGGTGGATTTGAATTGTTGACCAAACCTGTCAAGTTAGCAACCTGACACATTACACACCACATCATCAGGGCTCCTTTAGAGCAACAGCTCCTTGTCTTTGAGTGGAACTGACTCCCCGCTGACCTTCTGGCTGGTTTTCAGAGGCTATAAATCACACAGGAGGACATTGTCCATCTTTCTCCCAGAGAGAAGCTGGTGGACTTAAACTGCCTGCCTTTGAGTTGGCAGTGCACCAGCTTAACCATTAGGCCAGCAGAGTTCCAGCATACCACAGCATAGAAAGTTAGAAGTTAGCTTACTCTTAGGTCAAGGACTACTGAAAAAAGTCTGTTTCAGATACAACTGAGGCATTTTTAGGAGAGCTCTGGTGGCCTAGTCCATAGGGGTCAATGCAAACTAAAAGGCTGGTGGTTCAAACCCACCAGTTGTTCCAAGGAGAGGACAGTCATTCCAAGGGAGAGGACAGTCTCCTTCTTTTTAGATTTATAGCTTTGGAAAGACAATGGATAGTCTCTGTGAAGTGGGACTGACTTGATGCCAGTGATTCTTTCCAACAAGACATTTAGAGCCAGATTCTCAAGAAAGAATGTACCTTGCTTAACTGTGCTCGAGGCCACCAGCTGTTCTGCAGGAGAAAGATAGGCAGTGTCCTCCTGTGCAAGTAACTGCCTCTGAAACCCGATGGAGGGTCAGGAATGAGTTGGTTCCGACTCTACGGTACACAACAACAATCTTAAATGAGTCAGCATTCATTAGTAAGGAATATAATTAAAATAAACCAGATTTCCGTAGTAAAATTGGGATAGAGAAAAAGAAATTTTAATCTTCTGAACTTTCAGTATGGATTGAAGCTCAACATCAAGAAAACAGATTTTTTAACCACTGGGCCAATTGGCAGCATCATGATAGATGGTGAAGAGATTGAGATTGTTAAGAGCTTCAGTTTGGCTCAAAAATCAACATTCTTGATACCAGCAGCCAAGTATAAAGAGACAAGCTGCACTGAGAAAGTGTGCTATTAGGGACCTTTCCAGAGTACTGAAGAGCAGCAGTGTCAGTCTAGAGAATAAGGTGGGCCTGGTCCAGGACTTGGTCTTCACAAAAAATTGGACAGTGATTAGGAATAATAGAAGGAGACTGATGCTTTTTGAGCTGTGGTGCTGGAGAAGAGTATTGAATATATCATGGACTTCTAGGAGAACAAACAGGTTTGACCTGGAGAGAGTGAAGCTAAGCTGCTCCTTGGAGGCAAGGATTCTGAAGCTCCAACTGACATACTTTGAGCATGTTGCAAGGAAGGACCAGTTCTTAGAGAGGGACACCATGCTTGGGATAGTGGAGGGACAGTGCAAAAGAGTAAGACCCTGGGTGAGATGGAATGACTCATGACTGCAGTAATGGGGTTAGGTGTGTCAGATAATGAGGTTGGCTTAGGATAGAGCAGGGTTCAGAGCTGTTGTACATGGGATTGCTATGAATCAGAAGTGACTTGATGGCATTTATCAACCTCTACAACTTTGACTTATGTTCTCTGTTTGGGAATGAGATTCTTCATCATGGAGGATTTTGTGCGCCGAGCACCTGCTGAAAGCTATTAGGTGCAGTAGGGCTAGAAGGTCCTAGATCCTCCCACGCTCTGTATAGGAGCAGCTTTAGCACAGGATGAGGTTCTAGGCGATAGAAAGGGCCTCTGCCAGAGACCACACCCTAAATGTCAAGGAGACCTTTGGGAATAGTGTGTTCTCATACAGAAAGTAAATTCTTTAAAAAAGAAAATCAGAGGTGAATTAATTTCGAATTCTGTTTGGAAGGAGGAAGGCCTTTCACATTTTTTAAACAATCTTCAATGTTAGACTACTTTTAACTCATTCTGATGAAAGATCCATGTGGAAATACTTTAGAACTTTTAAACAGATTATTACAAAAGAGATGATAAAACAAATACACTTTGTATTTGTAATGGAAAGAATTTGAAACTACTCAAGAATAGAAAACATATGAATAGTGTTATAATGTATTTTTACTTAATATCATACAACTGACCTTAAAATGATTCCTCTGACCATATTTTATTGAGAAAGAAAAGGCATTTTCTCACTAAGAAGCACATGTTCATATTAAAAAAAAACCTAAGAACTGTAGATAAGCAAAGAATGAAGGAGATTGGTGGCAGAATATCTTACCTTCCGACGGTTGCTTTAGACCTTTTTCTATCCATATTTACTTTTCTTAAAAGGTAAATATTTGGATCACATTTTTTATTGCTTTGTAGCATACTTTTTTCATTTAGATTCAAAAGTATCTTTATATGTTAATAGTATTCTTTAAATAATATTTTAAAATATTGCTATGGCTGACTGCATTGCCAGAGGCATTTAGATTGCTAATGGTGTAGTGGTGCAAGCATTTGGCCGCCAACCTCAAGGTCAGCAGTTTGAACCCACCAAGCTTTTCAACCATAAATTTTTTTAGCAGCCCAACACAGGACAGACTACACCCCCAGAGCTCCACCAGAAATTCCTTTTTCAAAATAAAAAGTCATTTTAAAAGTTTCATTTAATTAGGTTCTAGCTTTCTAGCTTGAAAAAAACAAATCAGAAGAGAAAATTAAAATTTCCAATAACCCTGCCTTTTAAAAATAAGTCATCCTTTAATTTTTTTATTCTTTAATTCTCCTCCCCTCTGCAATGTGTGTGTGTGTGAAAGAGAGTGAAAGAGATTATTGGGTACTATCGATTTACTTGACTCATTATGACCCGTTATGAAAGAGTAGTGCTGGCCCAGAAGGTTTTCTAGGCTTGTAAAGGTCTCTCTCCCTGAGAGTCACTGGGTGAATTTAAACTACCAGTCTTCCAGTTGGTAGTAGTATGCTCAACTGTCCCATCACTACAGCCCACGTATTTTTGTGAGCTCTCTGAACACATTAGTATAGCTGTCTAACATCCTTTTATATCTTTCTCTCATTACTGTCAAATCAGAACCAACTCCTGCCTTACCCTCTAGCAAGTTTTCAGAGGCTTTAAATCACACAGGAGAGATTGCTCGTCTTTCTCCCACAGAGTACCTCGTGGATTTGAACTGTCTGTTTTAATCTTGACAGCTCAACTTCAACATGAAATGTGCTGGTTTGGGGAGATTATTCTCATCAATCCCATTCCCCTTACCAGTAAGCTAATTTTTTTTTTTGGTGGGAACTTTCTGAATGTTCTTTGCCTTTTGCTTCCATTTGAGGACTGGAGCTTTCTTCAGTTGGCCTCGATTCTCTAAGTAATAGCCAAGAGACACACAGTGGGCAATGAGAACAAACTAGATAAGTGAGGACTTTGGGCCCTCTCCCCTGTGCCTTCACCCCTTTCTGGAGCAAGGAGGAAGAAAAAGAGGCTGGCTCCTGGTCTTACCTAATGTAACCACAGACCAGGGATTGCCTGTGATAGTGAGAGTGGAATTGTACTGGATTATATCTAGAGCAGAGGAAATAATTTACACTCTCTAGGGAGGAGTTGGATCTGAGGCAATTAGAATTTTCCACCTTTAACTTTTGTGACTCCTATCACATTAAAAAGCGCCTGATCTTCTTGGCAATACTAAGAATTCTTTTTATCAGAAAGCACCACCGAAGTCCTTTGCAGTTGTTAATATTCTGAGTTTTGGGGCTCTTGAAAGGTTCTTTCTATTTTTGTTGAAACAGCTATTAATAAGAAGTGAGCCTGGTCATGGTCCCGGGACTTGAGCAGGGTTTGGAGAACGGTGGGCACCAGGAAAGCCTGAAGCCTTTTCTCAGAGATCTCATAAGGGATGAGGAGTACACTGTACTACACACCTAAAATACAGGAGACTTAGTGTACCCCAAGTCCCTGCTGTCTCACTAGGTGAAGCATGTGGAGTGTGCTTCATTCACAAGCTCTTAGTGAAGACTGGCGCTGAGCACGGACAAGACACTGTTCTGCTGGTGTAGCCATCAGGCATTTATGCAGAAAAAAAACCAAGACTGGAATGAGCAGAACAGCATCCATCACTATCAGCCAAGGTTCCCTAAGTTAGGATCATGCCCTGGGGTGATGGTCGGTCCATCCACGCTTGCCGCACTTTGTCTTGGGAGCAGAATACCCAAGATTAAGTACCAACGGGTCAGTCCTATCTGTGTACCAAATAGTATATTTGGAGAACAGTAGGGGAGAGAGTAATGGAAATAAGACAGGAAAGGTAAAAGGGATGATAAAAGTAAAGGTCCCCTGCAGGCAGTGGACGTCTGTTGCACGTGGTTATGGTGAGTGACCATTTTCTGGTGGCTACTCAAGATCTTACCGATTTCAGGAGCAGCTTTTCCTCCTTTACCACTCAGCCGAGCCCAGTGTTTCTTTACAGGACAAGCATCTCCCTCCCTAAGGTACAAACTTTGTGTCCATTATTAACTATTATGTCTCTCAACATCAGTGGTGAGAGGTGGTGTGCACCCAGCAACATGACAATGTCCATTCAACTCCATTGGTGCCATGGCAGGACCTCCTTGTTCTTAGAGGTGTCTCTTCGGGCTGGTATTCACCAAATGTGCATGCCTCTCTGTCTTGCCTTTTTCCTCCTCAGGGTTCTGGCTGGTGTGTACCATCATCATCATCCTGAGCTGCTGTTGCGTCTGCCACCACCGCCGAGCCAAGCACCGCCTTCAGGCCCAGCAGCGACAACATGAAATCAACCTGATCGCCTACCGGGAAGCCCACAATTACTCAGCGCTGCCATTTTATTTCAGTACGTACACCGCAGACTGCCATACCCTGCACTCGGGAGCCTGGGTGCACAGAGCCAGGGCCCAGACCACACCGGGGCCCAGGGCTCCGGGTGGTTTGCTACTTTAGGCCACCACAGAGCTGGGTCTTGCAAATACAGAAAAACAGAGGAACAGGTATATGGATGCAGATCCCTGCAGCCCCTGGACCATCTGGGTCTCACAGTGGTTGTTTATTTAACAATTTTTCTTTTTCTTTTAAAAGGCAGGGAGTTGGGTGTATAGTGTGAATGAATTGAGATTTGGAGTTCAGTGCTCGGAGTGCCTCTCATTTTGCTTACTGCCATGTAATAACATACACAAAGCAGAGACTGCCTTGATGGGCAGGTGGGATGTGGTGTTGAGATTTTCTGTGAACCAAGAAATTTAGTAGCTCACTAAGGCATATTCACCTGACTCAGTTGGCTGTTGGAGGCCCAGTTGCATTGTGTAGCTTGTCCAAAGCTATTCTGCAATGCATTTTACAACATAAACTCGTCACAGTTGCTTGAATTCCACATCTAGTAGAGATGACATGCTTAGCGCAGTGCCTGGCATATAGTAAGTGCTCAATAAATGCTAACAATTATTGTTAACGTTATAAATAGATCATTGTGCCTTAAGCACAAATGAAAACACGAACTCATTTGCATGTTCTTAATAAGCCCTGAATGGCAGAGGCTTCCCCCCAGCCCCTTGGTGGAACCGACCCCCTCTTGATTTGAGTCAGGGTGAGGTACAGTTCATCTTTCCAGACCTTCTCCAGCCCCACAAGAAAGAGAGAAGACAGGATTCTAACCTCCCAGCAACGAGGCACCTTTGTGGTGCACCCAGCAGGGCTAGAAGGAGGGAGCAGGTGGCCAGGAAGTCTTGAGTGAGGAGCCTGAACTCTGAGGCTGGTGGGCTTAGTGAGAGGACAGCCTGAGCAAGAAACTAGAGGCTTATGTGTATGTGGAAGCAGGTCCATTCCAGACCAAAGCAGTCTCCTGGCCATCCTGTACACTTCTCTGCACGTTTGCCTTAACACCCAGACGGGCAGGAACCCCTGGCCTGTGATGCAGCTTGAGGAGCTCTCTCATTCCAAGCAGCTGGTTAGGTCATTCCCAGTCTATCCCCCTTTCTCTGCAGAATTGCTCACAGCCCTGTGGTTTACTCAGTCAGGCTTGGTGGGTACGTGTTGGGGTGGGAAGAGACCCTGTGCCTGTATTGAGTGTGAGCTTTGCAGTCTGTCCTAGAACAATTGCCAGCACAGTAATCTTTCCTCCCTACCTCCCCATTTTAGGGTTTTTGCCAAACTATTTACTACCTCCTTATGAGGAAGTGGTGAACCGACCTCCAACTCCTCCCCCACCATACAGTGCCTTCCAGCTTCAGCAGCAGCAGCTGCCTTCACAGTGTGGCCCCGTGGGCACCAGCCCCCCGGGCGCCGATTCCTCCAGGGCCCCCCAGGGTGCACAGAGCAGCCCCTTGTCTGGGCCCAGCAGAAGCAGCACGAGACCCCCGAGCATCGCTGACCCTGAGCCCTCCGACGTGCCAGCTGACCCGGCAGCCACCAAAGTCCTGGGAATGGAGCCCAGTGGCTCTGCGGCCGGCCTGGGGGAGCTCGAGCCGGGGTCTCCCCTGCACAAGGACTCTGAATGTAAGGAGGAACTGCTGAGAGAGCACAGCGCCGAGCAGAGCGGCGCCCTCCCCGACAGCAAAGACAAGACGCCCGGGCGGCACCGCCGCTTCACTGGGGACTCGGGCATCGAGGTGTGTGTGTGCAACCGGGGCCACGACGAGGACCTCAAAGAATTCAACACGCTCATTGACGACGGAGCCCTGGACTTCTGCGACAGCTGCCACATGCGGCCCGCTGGTGACGAGGAGGAAGGGCTGTACCGACCCTCCGAGGAGCAGGCCCGAGAGCCGGGGCACCCCCACCTGCCACGGCCCCCCGCCTGCCTCCTGCTGAACACCATCAATGAGCAGGACTCCCCGAACTCCCAGAGCAGCAGCACCCCCAGCTAGAGCAGGCCCCGCCTGCACCTGAGAACTCAGCAAAGCAACCAGGGTAGGGGAGAACCACGAGAGAAGCACTAAACGCCTTCCGGAGAAAGTGGTGTAGCCACTTTGTTTATCCACCGCGCCCCGTCCCCCTTTTCCCTTCCTCTTTTCCAACACTTCCAGGTACAATTTGGGGTATGGATGCCACTTCCCCTCAAAAGCACAGTGTTGTGGTGAGCTGAAAAGTTGCTTCTGTGACATTCTTCACACCCTGCTCCCACACTTCTCCCCATCCCTCCTTCCGAATCTTAGCTCACCAACCTGTTTGGGTCAAAGACAATGTATGTTTTACTCGCCCCGAAGGAAAGGGGCTGAGACTGTGCCCGGAGATGTTTCCTGGAGTTGGAGTGGGTTTATTCTCTCGTTTTAGTGTAAGAGAACCCTGTTATGTCTCCGTTCGAGAGGAGACAGGTCTCAGCACCCACAGAGGCCCAGGGATGGTCACCCCTGGCTGCTGGTGTTTATAGGGCTAAGAACTGATTCATTCTTTGAGAAGTTGAGAGCTCAC